TTCAGATCTTGTTTTGCATATATATATTTGATTGATTGTTTGAGCTAATGGTTTGATCTCCTCCCAACAAATAGTTTTGGAAAAAAAAAAAATTAATCGACAATTTAAGTTAATCTATCAATTTAGATGATTAATTATGGGCTATGCTATTTGAACAGGGCCACCTTGACCTTGTTCGAACAGGGGCACTAAGTGGCCCCCCTATTGGCAGGGGGTCTAATCAAACCCGCTGCTAATAGGGGCGCCAGTACAAACATGGCCATCTCGGTCCTGTTTGAGTAGCTTTATTCTTTAAATACAGTTCTTTGAAATTTAAAAATTGGCCACCCCACACCCCATAATCTATGTTTCTTGTATCCTTTATATACACCTCTTTTTCACTCTCTTCAAATTGAAAATCCAAATTGATTTATTACCTCCAATAGAAAACACAATACAAATTCTTCTCTACTTCATTTTCTCCAACTGACTATTGTCCTCCTGAAGAATCTTGAATATATAGATACAAAAATCAGGTTCCTGAAATGGCAATCCACTTACATCCAACAATTTGTTTTTCCGTTTATGAAGTAATTCGTAGAATACTTTAATATAAATTTTGAGTCAAAATGTTTACTTGAAATGATAAATTTTAAGATCTTTTGAATGGTTGAATCACCTTACTTTCTAAAACTCCAAATCTACAATTTTCTTGCACTCTAATGGTCCCAATTCTGTTCACAATGAAAGGGGATTATTAGCCACAACCTAAGTGCTAATTTTTGTGAGTTTTCATGCCATAATAGTAGTTCTAAGTGCCTTTCAATTTTGGTATATTTTCCATACGAATTTTCACCATCTTATTTCCATATTTTTTCTCCATTGCTAGACTAAAAATTGGAGGTTTTATGGGAGTTATGGGAGGTTATGAGGAGTAGTGGATTTGAATTCCAAATTCAAATGACTCCGTCCAACCATTTTGATATCCTGTGGGTCGGCTTAGTCCACATAGGCGACTCATAATCCATATTTTCTAACATCTCCTACTTGTACATGATGGGTTTGATCTGAACAACAGGGACAACAAATGTCACACATTAAATCTTTCTCAAGTTCTATCTTACAAAAAATTAACACGACAAATAGATCGTACGACCAAAGAGTATATTAGTTATTACGGTACTATAAACCTGTTAGAGATATATAGTAGCTCTATTAGAAGATCATTACATCTCGCTATACATCAAACTTATTTTCCAACATAATTCAAGTATTTCCAATCTCTCAAGTATTTATGAAACATATTTGAACCCCATATCTTATCATTGAATTCACAATTATATCCTATACCATAAATGGTTGAACACAATTGTCCGACCGGTGAATATAAATATAAATGTTGGTCAAAATAGTTTTCCTTTCCTATTTGAATCCTACAACTTTAATTCAACTGCTTTCCTAGACATATCCCATCAAAACGAGTCAATCATAGTTATTGGCAACATGTTGAAGTAACAATGCCGAAATAAAATCTCAAGAAACAGTCAAAGTCATAAGGGTATATAAAAGATTATATAAACCTCAAGGTCTTACACAAACACATGTTACGATGTTTCTCCCATTCTTAGGGCGTATATCATATTCTTTATAAACAAATAACACCGTATAAATCCTAGTTCAAGTATACCTCGATACCTAACTTGAGTTCTCCTTATATTCATTCTTCTAGGCAATTTGAAATCGAGAACTTGATCTGGCTACTAATCAAGTTTAATGGATTAGCAAAATCCATTTCGATTACTTGTTGCAATCTCATCTTGATATCTCATCAGGGCAACTAAATCATGTACATAACGTGATCACTATGTCTCATCTCAGCACAATCCAAAATGTCTGGGGTAATTGCTCGTGTGATTGAGTCAATCTCAACCTGTTCGACATACTTTATATGTGCATGCAAATTGTTATCTCGTAATCCCAACGATAGATTACATGTGAACTTAAAATTGTTCATCTATGGGCACACAAAACTCAATCAAGAGTTTTCTGATACACTAAGTATCATATTATACTCAATTCTAGAGATTTGACATTACCAAAAAATATATCTCTAGACATGTTCAGAGTATGATAATTATATCATCATTTACATAGATATATCGCAGAGACACATTTTTACTAATGTCTCTCACATAAATATTATTGAGTGTTTGGTTCCATGGTGATACTTGAGATCCTCAACACGTGAGATAATTACATAATTATCATAGATTTCATATTCTCAACTAGTATCATTAGATGCCGAATACATCTATACCAAATAATTTCTTCAGCTGCCAAGATTTTTACTACAAAATAGGCTTCTTACTACTCTATATAGCAAGATTGCACAAGTCTAATAACTATTTGTGCTCGACTAACTTTCATCTTTAGTCGACATTTGCATATCTAATCCAATAATAAGTTATTCTTTCGACAACTAGAATAACTAATAGCAACACTCTTCAGGTATTACAAGACTCGTATGATCACCTTCTGATATAGGAGTATCAACAGGGTATCAATTCTACAGTTATAGATATTCTAGAATATTTATAGTACACAGTTCTTGTGACAGAAAAAGAAGACTAGAATAATCTTTTTAACACAAAATATACAATTTGTTAAAGTCATGTCCTTCATCTCAAAGATTAAGGACAACCTTTTCAAAATGGTTTCAATACATTCATTCTCATGCTTAACCAATACAGTGTCATCAACATCAAAATTAAAATTACAACCTACCATTAGA